ATGACGAGTAAGTGCAAAGTCAAAATAGGGCAGCTCGTAATAGTGAATTTTCTCTGTTTCAACAGGAAAGGAAAGAACAATATTGGGAATATTGCTTCAAAGACATTCAACAAGAGCTCAATCACATGAAGGAGGCTGTTAAAAGCAAAACTCCAGTGACTATGGATGTCTTAGTTCAACAGACTAAATCCCCATTCACCGCACAAGTGTTGCACTTTCCACTTTCTCCTAAATTCAAAATGCCCCAAATGGAGGCCTTCGATGGAACAAAAGATTCCATGGACCATCTCAACACCTACGAGAATCAAATGTAGCTACATGGGTACTAGGACAAGGTACAAAGTCGAGCCTTTGCCATCACTTTGAAAAGTTCAGCCCTAGCATGGTTAAATAAGCCGCCCCCAGCATCTATCTCATCATTTAGAAAGCTCTTCGTCTCCTTTGTATCACATTTCATAAGAGCTAGTTATCACATGTTGAATGTGAAATAGGGGCCCAATGAAAGCCTACAGAGCTATGTTCAAAAGTTGTTCAAAAGTTCAACTCAAAATCCCTGAAAGTGAATGTCCCTGACGAGAAATTTGTCATCACTACCTTTATTACTGAATTAGGAATCCAATCAAATGACCTATTGTTCTCTATCTTCAAAAACCAGCAAGCCAGTATGGCAGAAATCCTCGCCAAGGCAGAAAAGTCCATCAACGGCGAGGAAGCACTCCTCTCTAAGGTAGGGAACACGTCCACCCACAAGGAGAAAGAGAAGAAGAGAGACCGAAGTCCCAAAAAGGAAAGAAATAAAGATAGATCTCCACGAAAAGACGGGGACCATTCTCCGAAAAGAAGAGGAGACGTCAAAGACCGACTTGGCCCACCATCCCATGAATTGTAGCCAAGATTTGCACCTTGACAGTACACTCCCTCACAGCCACAGTGTCCCAAGTCCTTTATAAGATACAGAATGAAAAATTCCTGAGGTGACCATATCGAATAAAGGTAAATCCCGCGAAAATGGAATCAACGAAATACTATGAATACCATAGGGACCATGGTCATCTCATTGATGATTGTATCCAATTGAAGAAGGAGATCGAGTTCCTGATCCAACGGGAACAATTGCGCTAATTTGTGACGTAGGACAATCAGAATCAAGCTCAACCACCTCCAGTACCTCAGCAGCAAGTCATTGCGCAACATCAATAACCTCTAGGAGAGATTAAAGTGATATCCAAAGGATTCGCTAGAGGCGGAGAGTCCAGCTCAACCAAGAAGGCTCACATGCACAAAGTTAGAACTGACGAGATGTTGAAAGTACACACTATGTCCAAAACACGTCGGCTGAACATGGACTTCATTTTCTCAAATACAGACCTAGAAGGCTGCCAATATCCCCATGATGACCTCTTGGTGGTAAGGTTCATCGTCGCCAACTGTACCATCCATCGAGTCCAGATTGACAATGGGAGCTCTACTAACATCATTTTCGCATCTGCTTTCGACAAGATGAATATAGACAAAGACAAACTTGAGCCAGTAAGGGCTCACCTATTAGGATTCTAAGGGGAAAGGCCGTTACCCCTAAATTTAATCCAACTCGTGCTCACTATGGGATATCCTCCTTACTAGTCCACCCTACTATGAGGTTCCTAGTGGTCGATGCACCTTAATCATATAACATTCTGCTAGGAAAACCTTCCCTCGGTACCATGAGGGTCATTCCTGCAGCCTACCACCTCGTTATGAAGTTCCATATAGAAAAAAAAATTGGAGCGGTCCGAGAAGACCAGTGTGTAGCATGAGAGTGATATATGACATCCATGAAAAAGAAAAAGGTCGAGATTATCCAATTGGACCAACTTAACATGAAAAACGAGCNGAAAAAAAAATTGGAGCGGTCCGAGAAGACCAGTGTGTAGCATGAGAGTGATATATGGCATCCATGAAAAAGAAAAAGGTCGAGAATATCCAATTGGACCAACTTAACATGAAAAACGAGCTGAAGACCAAGCCAATGCCCTCAGAAGAGCTGGAGCCTATTCAGCTTGACGAGAAGCCATAGTACCTAGTATACGTGGGATCTAAGCTAAACACAGAAGTTGAAGACCTCCTGATTCATTTTCTCAGAAGGAATATGAAGGTGTTTGCCTGAAAACAAGAAGATATGCTAGGAATTGACTCCTCAATCATCACGCACAAACTCAGCGTGAATCCGACCTTCAAGCCCATCAAACAGAAGCGAAGAAGTTTTGCCCCAGAAATGCCAAAAAGTGATCAATAAGTAGTTCAGCAAACTTCTTCACGTCAAAGCCATCAGAGAGGTGGACTATCCAACCTAGCTAGTAAACGTGGTCCTCGTCAGGAAGTCCAATGGCAAATGGTGCCTCTACATCGACTTCATCGATTTAAACCGAACTTGTCCCAAAGACAACTTATCCTTACCTCGGATTGACTTGATTGTGGATGCCACAACTGGACATGAGCTCCTCAACTTCATGGATGCCTTTTTTGTGTATAACAAAATCAGAATGGACCCTAGCAACCAGGAGAAAACCTCCTTTGTAACTGAGTAAGGAACATACTGCTACCAGGTCATGCCTTTTGGACTAAGGAACGTTGGAGCTACTTACCAGCGTTTGATAAATCAAATATTTCAAAAACAAATTGAAACATCAATAGAGGTGTACAACGATGACATGCTGGTAAAGTCATGAAAAGTCGAGCTCCACATTGGGCACCTTGAAAAATCTTTCCATGTTCTCAAGAAATACCAAATGAAGCTCAACCCCGTCAAATGCACATTCGGAGTCTCTGCTGGGAAGTTATTGGGTTTTATAGTCAATAGCAAGGAAATCGAGGCAAACCCAAAAAAAATAAAAGCAGTGATAAACATGCAACCACCTTCAAATACGAGGGAAGTCCAACGCTTAACTGGAAGGATAGCGGCCCTAAGTCGTTTTGTCTCCAAATCAAGTGACAAATGTCAACCCTTTTTCCAAACCTTAAAAAAGGCGTTCCAACGGGATACCCGATGCGAAGAAGCATTCAAAGCCCTTAAAGATTATCTGAGCTCACCCCCAGTTCTGGTAAGTCCTTTGAAAGGGAAAGTGCTCACCCTATACCTACTTTTTCGAATTTCTTAACCAACGTGGCATTAGTAAGAGAGCAAGACATAGCTCAATAACCAGTTTACTACTATAGTAGAGCTCTGAGGGGGCAGAGGAGAGATATTCATAGATGAATAAACTAGTCCTAGCTTTGGTTATGGCAACAAGAAGGCTCAGATCATACTTCCAAACTCACATCATTGAGGTCCCACCAGATCAGTCAATGAATCTTCTAAAGGTTGGGGATTTTACTCAGAAAATATTGAAACAAAAAAAATGTGGTATATCAATTGTTCTACTTGTGATATTATAATTGATCTTGTCAATTGTGACTGATACAGTATAGAGCATTTTCTACTATGAAGATTATAAAGAATCGATTGCATAATCGAATGACCGATCAATGGATGACAGACAACTTGATTGTATACATAAAGAATTATATTTTTGATTGCATTACTAATTAAATTATCATGTAACACTTTCAAAATATGAAAACTCATAGAGGTTAATTGTATATGGCGATAGTCTATCTCATTTGTTGTAAAAAGATTTAGTTAGAACGTTGTTTTGTAAAATTTTTTTGTTTATGCACCCCATGTGTATCGGNGCGATAGTCTATCTCATTTGTTGTAAAAAGATTTAGTTAGAACGTTGTTTTGTAAAAATTTTTTGTTTATGCACCCCATGTGTATCGGTTTTTAGCCATTTTTTCAATGAAAGTTTAGGTATTGTATAAGATTTAAAAAATGTATGTGTCTGTTACATTATCCTTAGGAAGCTAAAATTTAAAACTTGTAGTTAGTGCTAGACCTGTTGGTATTTCAATCCATTTGTAATTAAATGTAGTGTGGTCTTAATGACTCGACATTATTCCTTGTTTTGGCCATGAATCCAATTTAGCTCAAGCGGCCAATAGAGGTGCAACTCGAGCGAGTTAGGGGGTTAACCTAGGCCCAACTCGAGGTATAAAAACTCTAATCCTAACTCAACCCGAACTCAACTTCTAACCAAACCTACTCAACCCAAGTATTACCCAAATTAATTTGTTAAAACTTGGGTTGAATTCTGGTTATTTCGAGCTCATAATTCTTGTTGAAATCGGGCTCTAGCAACACACCTAAATTCACAATACTAAGGTCTGAAAATCTACAAATGTACTAAACCTAATGCCTAAAAATGCTAATTTACTGATCTCATTAATCTCCATTAACATAGCATTGCACAACCAAATCACAATAATGCAACCAAAAAATACCCACACGAATACAATAGTATGGTATATCTATGTGCAGTGAAAGAGAGAGAACCCAGATGGTAACTGAAAGCAGATGGATTGAATGAAAGCTTTTTGGTAAGGATAAGGATAAGTTGGTCCAGCTTAAGACTTGATCAATGGTGAATGGTTTGAGTCATAGTACGCTGATATGTGTCGAACTAAGCAGATCACCATGGCAGTTGGTTGAAGTAGCCTTTTTCTCTACCTTTCCCGTTCGGCCTTCAATTTGAGATATGGGGAAACTAACCAACGTTGCTATAAGATTCTATGAAGAATCACTTCTGTAGAATAACTACGACAGAGCTCGTAGAATGTGCCAAGATCGAAGACTACAATGTCTGCCAGAAATTAGGGCAGCTTTGGCCCCAAAAAATGTGATTGTATTACAAAGGGATGACACACTTAACCTTCTATTTTGCGAAGAAGACCAAGAAAATATGTCCTTTCTTCCCTGCCTTTTTTCCTCATGTTCATTATGTTGGTTTCTTTGAATATTCTTCGCAATCAAAGGCGAACAGTCGAGGTCCAAAGAGGCGGTCCAAATCCATCGAGGTCCAGATCTATCGATGTCTTCTTTGCATCTAATGAGGTCTTCTCCAGATCTTGCAGATGAAAAAGAGATGGAGAAAGACGAAGAGAAAATGGAGAAAGGCGGAGAGAAGCTAGAGAGTAGATGGGGAGGCGGAGAGGGAGAACAAATGAAGGAAATGGAGAAAGGCAGAGAGGGGGATTGGAAACAAACCCAAGTCTTTCGTTCTCTATTTATATATTTGGGTTGAACCCGGTAACCTAAGACCTCAATTCGAATATTGTCTGAATTCAATTTAAGTTGATGTTTTTTGACCCAGTTCTAACCCAAATATTAAAAACTTCAACCTAAGCCCTATTCCTTTTGGGTTGGATTTAGGTTGACCCGTCCAAATTGCACCCCTAAGCGTTCCTAAGAGAGGACAATAGCTCGAGGATGTATAGTTTGCTTTAAATGGAATACCTTTAGAACCATCTCTCAAATCCAAAAGAAAAAAAATTTCTCCTTGATCTTATTCATAGCTATTGCAGATAAAGTTTTGACAAGCAAAGCTGGAACCAATCAGAATCCAAACTTTGATCAAAAAAAAAAAAATCAGAATCCAAACATCTTCCTTGTTGAGGTTGAGAGTATTATGTTGAGATTATTGATCAGATATATGCATTGATATATAGAACAATGATTGAATTAGTGGGGAGTAAAGTAAATTGGATTAATTGTGGATGTGATCCCCAAAGTATTTATATGTCTCATTTTGGTCCCCAACCTTCTAATTTCATCAAATTGGTCCCCAAAGTACTACATTTGCACTTACCTAGTCCCCGCAGTTGAAGTTGTCTAGATTTTTGTCTATTTATAGTCATGTGTCATCCACATGACCCAGCTGAGGGGCTATATTGTCATTTACCCTCCTCCTATTACTGGAGGGAAACATTCCCGCCATCAGGTATATCTACAAGACCCATTGTCTGTTACAGAGCATAGGAGAAGAGAAAATGAAAGGAAGGGAAGGAAAGGCAGTAGCGGCTGGAATGCTAGCAACACCATGCCGCTGTAGAAAAATAGCCAAATTGAGGATGGATACCAACCTAGGAAGAAGGTTCATTGGATGTGAAAGATATGAGATAACAAAATGTTCTGGATTTTGTTACCGAATTTTCTATTTTGAATGCATTTAACAAAAATGTTGCATATGTAGGAGGCTGAAGGGTGTGGATTTTTTGCTTGGTATGATCTGCCAATGTGCGATAGAGCGAAGCAAGTGATACCCGGATTGTTGCGATCAAAGCAAAGACAGGAGAACCAACAACGAAAGGCAAAAGCTAGGGAAAAATTATTTTGGGTTGCTCTGTTCTGTTCTTGGACATTTTTAATTTTCACTTGGGTGTGGCATTTCCTGTACGTAGTAGTGCCCTGTTTGTCTGTGGTGGGTGCCCTATTTGTGTGTGGAGGCTGCCCTATTTTTGTCTAGGAGGGTGCTCTATTTGTGTGCATGAGGGTACCCTGTTTTTGTGTAGGATGGTGCCCTGTGAAAATGGCATTTTATATAAATATAATTATTATGTTTGATGTAATTAGAAGTGTAACAACATGTTTGCATCAAAACTATCTGTTAAGTTTTAGGTATTTTTCAATAGTCGCAAACTTATGAGTTTGAATGTGCCCTGTTTGCTCCCATGTCATTCTCAATTAATCATAACTACTACCAATGCAGAAAAGCCACAGCCCATGATTTTCATTAAGGTAACAACTTATTAGTTGTGACAAAAAGATGTTCATAATTACAAGTTCGTCTCTCAGTACAAACTCAAAATGAGAGCAAGAAAGGTACATTTACATCACAAACCCAAAAGATAGTAACACATTTACATATAAGCCAGATTTAGACTCTCACCACAAACCCAAAAGAGAGCAACACATTTACATTGGCTCCCAAAAAAAAAAAAAAGAGAGAAGCTGCATGAGTGCTTGTTCATTTGCTCCTCCTGAATGGTATTTTATCCCTTCGCGTATAAACCAATGGTTGAACCTTGAAATTATGGGTGCTTGTTGATGGTGAACCAATGGTTGAACCTTGAAGCCATATAGAGAAAAGGTAAGATATGAGCCAATGTTTTTCAATGAAATTGTTTACTACTTGCCAAAAAGTCCAAAAAGTTCAATGAAATTATTTACCTATTCAAAGCAATACCTTCCTTTCACAACAAGACTGCTCCTTTAAATCAACTGTGCATTGGTCTACATTCATACACCTTACCCCAAACTTCAACTCACCATGCCACTCAGTAATACAATCAAAGCTACCACTTTTCCATTTCTCTAATCTCTTTTGAAGCTTAGGGCATATATCACCATGCCAATTCCTAAACCATTCTCTCCTCTTCAACATTCTTTAAGTTAAATAGCATCTAATCCATTCTACCATTTCTATGATGGGTTTATCCCTTGCCTCTATAATTGCCCCATTAAAGCTCTCACATAGATTGTTTAACAAAATATCACACTTAGGTTCTTCTCTGAAGTGTGACCTACTCCAATACCTTGGTGGCTCATTGGCCAACCAATCAATTGTCTTCTCATCTTCTTCTTTCACCATTTACATCCCATAGTCAAATTCTGAAACATAAGTTGCCCTAACACATTTCTAAAATTTCTTCCTAATACTCAATCCCTTAAAGTGTTTAATGAAATTGTTTAGCATGTGCCTAGCACAATGCCTATGCTCAAATGCTGGTACTCTCTCAATCAATACTAGAAGCAAACCCTGCACAGAATATACAATAATTAAACATGCATAGTACAGTTAATATAAATTGATAAAGAAATAAACATCCAAACATACCTTCTGCCTATCAGTTATGAAGATCCACTGCTCTTGGTTTTGATCAGTTATGCCTAAGTCAATGCATAGTACTGTTAAGAACCATGCCCATGATTCTTTCATCTCAATCTCAACAATACAGTAGGCAATGGGAAATATAGAATCATTGGCATCAATCCCAACAGCAGTCAACAATTGTCCACTATATGCCCCTTTCAAGTGGCAACCATCTAATCAAATCACTTTCCTACACCCTTGAAGAAATCCACTCTTACATGCTGCAAGACATACATAAACCTCTGAAATATAAGTTCACCATTTTCCTCATCACCAGGTGCATCCAAGATAATTGTGGAACCAAGGTTAGTCCTTCTTAGTTCCTCACAGTAATCCCACAATTTACCATATTGTTCAATTTCATCACCATGTATCAACAACATTTCCCTTTTCTTTGCTCTATACAATTGATTCCTTGATACATCAACATGAAAATCTCTCCTAACTCTTTTTTTAAAAGCCTTTATAGGCCAACAAGGGTTGGCCCTTAGGTCATCCATATACTTCAATGCTATCATCTTTGAGGTGACATTTCTGTTATTATAAGTTTTCCCACATGTATGCTTACCAATGTATGTATTTATTTGGTATGTTTTCTCACCATGCACTCTACAAGCATAAACCAGCCAACTACAGCCCTCTTCACATTTTGCCCTCACCCACCTCTTATCATTTTTTACTAATTTTACATTTCTTTGATGTTTGATAGCATGTTGTCTAATGACATTCTTGATCTCCTCAGATGTACTAAATAACATGACCAGTTTAAAATGTGGGTCTTCCTTATCATTTTTTGCCCTAAAAACTTCAAATTTTTTATGTTTTCTTGCATAATTCTCTCCATAAGATGAACTGAAGCAGCTTAAAATCTCCTCAAAATCACCATTTGTATCACTGAGTTATAACTGCTGCCTTTTGTCTGTTTCTGATTCTTTCTGCCTATTACTATTCAAACTAGTCCATTCAGCTTCATTATTAACATAACTATCATACAACATGTTATCATTCTCACTTTCATAATCACTGTCAACCAACGTATCATACTCATTACATTCACTAGATTCACAATCAGGTTCGTATTCACTGTCTGATGCATCAGATTCTAATACTATCATTTTCCCTTGAGACATCACCATCAACTTGATGATTCTCCATTGTGACTGTTGTATAATAAGATCATGTTCAAGGACCAAATTAACTATAAAATATTACAACTAACACATTAACTATCATTGAACAATTTCCAATGCATAAACAATGGTTTTCAAGGACCACATCAACTTAAAAAAATTGCAACTTATACAAACTATAAACAAAGAGTTTCCAATGCATAAACACATGGTTTCGAACAAACACATAAACTATATAATATTGAATACCGACTTTTACAAATCATTCTTTCCTATGAACCTTAGATTTAAATCTATAAGAATGAGTACATACCATAATGAGGAATGTCTTCAACTGCATATTGATTTCCAGTCTTCCGTCGTTTGGAACGTACCATCTTTGTGCTTTGCCCTAATGGTCTTCTGCTTTACCCTAATGGTGATCGTGTTTTGCCCTCATGGTGATCGTGTTTTTCCCTAATTGTGATTTGCCCAACTGAAGCTCTGGTTTGCAAAACAAGTGAATGAAGACATCGAAGAGTCTCTTGATCAACTTCCCTCCAGTAATAGGAGGAGGGGTAAATGACATTATAGCCCCTCAGCTGGGTCATGTGGATGGCACATGACTATGAATAAACGGAAATTTGGACGGCTTCAACGGCGGGGACTAGGTAAGTGCAAATGTAATACTTTGGGGACCAATTGGATGAAATTAGAAGGTTGGGNCTGGGTCATGTGGATGGCACATGACTATGAATAAACGGAAATTTGGACGGCTTCAACAGCGGGGACTAGGTAAGTGCAAATGTAATACTTTGGGGACCAATTGGATGAAATTAGAAGGTTGGAGACCAAAATGAGACAACATAAATACTTTGGGGACTACAGCCGAAATTAATCCAAGTACATCTTAAGGACATTAAATGAGGTTCCATTTCCTTAGGAAATTATAAAAATGGTTAATATAGCAATATAATGGGCTCCACTCATCACTTTATGTGTCCATCTAGGATAACCCCTAGGGTACTGAGAAGTGATCTTGTGTTATCATATCAAAAACTAGTAATTCTTCGTGTATGTAGACACTACGTAAAAAAGATCGTCAATCAATATCGACCCACTATTTTTTTATAAAAAAAAATAATTGACAAAATTATCTCTAAAATCATGATCCTTAAAGTACATAATTTATAATCAAGTTTAGTAATTAGAACAAGCCTTTATTTAAAAAACTCGCCTCAATCCAATGATAATCCAACTATTGCAATATCATAATCCAAACATCTGCACAAATGTTGCACATGCTTTATGAGAACATATTGCACTTGATTCACTCGCTAAATGAATAACCATATATTAAACAATAAAATAACATCCACGACATTCTAAAATCAAATGGTTTCAAGCCAATTTCAACACTCATGGCACTAAATATCATTGCCATATAACCAGAAAATAAATATCCAAATCCTAAAGAAAAAAAATAACTTTTCTCTCGCAAATGACATTCTTACAATCTGGAAGAATTCTCTGACCAAGCAAGAAGAAAATATGAATTCCCAATAATGTCATATTTGCACATAAGGCCAGTCATGTCTCAGAAATACTTCTGATTATTTTGATCATTTGCAAATGACATGTAGGTTCTCTTTGCCAGCTCCCAAATGTTTTCCTTTCTTTTATGTCATGTGTATTCAAGATAGCAGAATGGTAAAATCATGCATCATTTAGGCCATCATGTTAAGTACATCAAGTCTGTGTGACAAAAAATTATAAAAAAAAATTAGAAATTGGGAGGATGCAAATTGAGAGAGGTACTGAATTTATGGTACATAAGGGAAGAGAAGAACAAACCTCCGTATTTTATATGATCTATTTCATAGGACCTCATGCCATTGATATAACCCCCACACCAACCCACAATATAAACACATGCATATTGACAACTTAATACACTATTATTGCGTGAAACAAACTCTAATTACAAAACTAACAAATAATCTATTTAATAAAACTAAATAATCGATTATCTGCTATTTGAGATGTGAGAAACTTTAAAGCTTACCAAAATTGTGGAACTAAGAACTGGATGAAGTATGGAACGACAATCAATGAGTGTTGCAATTGCAAATTTCTGCTATCGGTCAGGAAGATAATTAGTGGAATGAGCCGCAATCAATTTGCCAGCTGCCAAGAGCCTACATAACTTGATCCATCCCTCTTGATTTGCGGCCCCGCAAAATTTTCATGAATCTAAGACTCACAACAATAGCAAATAATGGCTACTAAAGCAAGAGGGTGCAGTCGTCGACTGAGGGTAAGGGCAAACTTTATTATTCTCTACAAAATTTGTTCAATCATCTAGAATATGCAGCACCCAAATCACAATTGGAGGGGGGTGTATACGTGTTCACAGAGAGTGGTTCTAGGGAGTGTCTTGGGGGTGGGCTGGATAGAAGAAGGGCTGGTGAGGAAGGATGAGGGGTTTGTTAGAAGTGGTGGAGAGAGGGGGGTAAATAGAAATAGGGGGAGACAAATTTGAGAGAAGAGAAAGATTGATAAAGATATACATCAGATAGTGTCGCCGAAGTTAGATGGAGGAGGTGGGCTGGCGACAGTGTCGAATGCGGCGTGAGAGGAGGTGACGGTAGAAAAGAAAGGGTGTGAGAGCACAGAGCGGTACATAGGGAAGACAAAGGGTGTGAGAACACAGAGATGACAGATGAGAGAGAGGCAGACGAGAGAAGAGAGACGTCAGAGGAGGGATGGTTTGGGGAATGATATTGTCACGTGTTTCCCAATAAATTATTTGTTGGGGTTTAGTCCACAAATTCTGTTTTATGATTTTGTTTATTTTTATGGTAATTAGGTAGAGGAGTTGTTAGAAGTATTTATGGAATTTTGTTATTCTAGTTGATTAGGTCAAACCTCAATGCACAACATTAGGGATTAAGGAGTCATAGTTAGATCAGTATCTTCAATTGTTGAGTCTTTGTTGGAGTCTTTGTAGGAGTCAGTTGCTAGAGTCTTGTATAAAAAGACGTTAGCAATGAATAAAGAGCAGAGAAGAAAATTTTAATTCTTGAGTTTTGGAGGTTGGCTACCCTCGAAGTAGTCAGTTTTACAATATTTTTGTTTTTTTTTACTGTGGTTGTTACAGTTGGTATCAAAGCCAGCTATCCTGTAATGGCTGAGGGAACTCGAGTATCTCAATTTTGTGAATCAATGAATCAACTTAAGGAGGCACAAGAAACCCAACAGAGAATCCTTGATGAGGTCGTGCAACAATTGCAATTCCTTGCTATCAGCTACGACTCTTTGAGTCGTTCACAATGACGGGATATGGGAGATAATTCTCATGGCAAATCAGTTGTTCGCCAAGCTGATCACTCTCAATCAGAGGCCGTGAGTGAAATCCAGACAAGAGCTCTTTGTCTCAACTTTCCTAAGTTCGATGGGGATGATCCGTTTGGGTGGCTTTATTGGGCTGAACAATTCTTTGCCTATCATCAGACCCTTCCCCAACATCGATTGATGATTGCCTTGCCAATTGCACAGAAGGACTAAATGAATCTTTCAAGATCAGTTGCTTCTTGGGTGGGCTAAAGGATGACATAAGGCTCACTATCAAGATGCTCAAACCCACTACTTTATCAGCTACCTTTGGATTGGCGCGAATACAAGAAGAAAAGGTGAATCACCGTCCAAAGCCCATCCAGGCTTAAGGAGGTCATGCTATTGCTGCTCATGAGTTGGGGGCCACCAAGAAAAATACTCCACCTATTCAAAAACTCACTCCATCCGAAATGAAGGCATGTCGTGATTGAGGGTTGTGTTACAATTGCAATGAAAAATGGTCGTCGGGCCACAAGTGCAAGGTGCAAAAACTATACCTGCTTGATGGAGCTGATCAGGTTGGAGATACAAGTGAAGCAGATGAAGAAGAAGCAGAGAAAGAGGAAGTTGCACTTGAATTCCCAACAACTAAGACCCCAGAAATTTCTCTGCATGCAATAGTAGGAGCACTCGCTCTGCAAACTATGCGAGTCTAAGGAACTTTGAAGGGGCACAATGTGGTAGTGTTAATCGAATCTAGTAGTACTCATAATTTCTTGGACCCTTTTATTGCCAAAAAGACGAATTTGACAGTTAGGGCTGGTGGACGATTGCAAGTAATGGTGGCTAACGGGGAACAATTGGCTAGTCAAGGTCATAGTGAAGGGGTTGTCATGTCTCTATAGGGACACCACATTCAAATAGACTATTATCTGCTAAGTTTGGGCGGGTGTGACGCGGTGCTAGGAGCGTATTGGCTACAAACTCTTGGTCCTATAATGTGGGACTTCTTCAATTTGTGGATGCAATTCAATATTGATGGTCGACAGGTCCAACTTAAAGGGCAATCACCATCCGAGCTTGCTTTCATTGAAGAATCACAGGTTACAAAGGTTCTAGGCAACAAAAAGCAAATGAGTGTTCGTGCAAGTCTTTAGCCTGATAAGAGTTCCGACACCCACATCAGTGTTCCCCTGTATTCAAGAAGTGATCAACCAGTTCCAAGATATTTTCCAAGAGCCGAAGGGTCTACCATGTCCACGTGATCAAGACCACAAAATTGTTCTAAAAGAAGGGGCTAAACCCGTGAGTGTTAGGCCATATCGTTACCCGTATTATCAAAAGGGGGAAATTGAGCACATTGTGAAGGAAATGCTAGATTCTGGAATAGTTAGCCCAAGTCAAATTCCATTCTCCTCTCCGGTGTTACTAGTATGAAAATATGATGGGAGTTGGCGTTTATGTGTCGACTATCATGCACTTAATGCGAAAACAATGAAAGCCAAGTTCCCAATTCCGGTAGTAGATGAGCTACTAGATGAACTCTTTGGTGTAGTCATTTTTTCTAAGCTAGATCTTAGATCAGGCTACCACCAAATTCGGGTTCACCCTGCAGATGTGCACAAAACCGCTTTCAGAACGCATGATGGGCATTATGAATTCCTTGTAATGCTATTTGGCCTTACAAATGCTCCATCAACTTTTCAAGGGCTAATGAATGATCTATTTCGACCATACCTACGTAAGTTCATTCTAGTGTTTTTCTATGACATCCTTGTATATAGTAGGAATTTAAAGGATCATTTGGAACACTTATGGGTGACACTTGAAATTTTAAGAGTTCACAAGTTGTTTGCAAAAGCTTCAAAGTGCAGGTTTGGGTGTCGTGAAGTTGAATACTTGGGTCATATTATCTCTGGAGATGGAGTGGTGGCAAATCCATCAAAAATACAAGCAATGTTGAGCTGGCCACTTCCCAAAAATCTCAAGTCCTTGAGGGGATTTTTGGGTCTGACCAGATACTATCGAAAGTTCATTCGTGACTATGGGAAAATTACTACACCGTTGACTGCTTTGCTGAAGAAAGAATCCTTCCAATGGACTGAAGCTGCTAAGGAAGCTTTTGAAAAGTTGAAAGAATCCATGACTCAACCCCTTGTTTTGGCTTTGCCCGACTTCTCAAAGCATTTTGTTATAAAATGTGATGCATCAGGTAATGGCATAGGGGTTGTTTTAATGCAAGAAGGGTGACCATTGGCTTTCCTTAGTCATGCACTTAAGGGAAAAAATCTTTTCCTCTCCACTTATAAGAAGGAATTACTTCCTCTGGTGATTGCTGTCCGCAAATGGAGGCCATATTTGGTTGGATGGCCATTCAAAATTAAAACTGATCAGCAATGTCTCAAATTTCTTCTTGAGCAATGAGTGGGTACTCCGGTCTAGCAAAAATGGATCAGAAAATTATTGGGTTACGACTTTGGGGTGGAGTATAAATCTGGAAAAGAAAATAAAGTAGCAGATGCTCTTTCCCAAAAGGAAGATGAAGAGAAAGGCTTCTTGTTCGCTTTATCCAGCCCATACGCCAATTGGTTTGATGAGGTTAAGATGGAGTATGCTTGCAATTTGGGGTTGCAACAGTTGCTGAAGCAATTTTATGATGGTACCTTGGATCGTTTCAAATATTCGTGTCAGGACGAAATCTTGTTCTACAAGGGCCGCATATATATTGGCTTCGACACTCCTCTCAAGTTTCGGATCTTACAACACCTTCACAATAGTCCTACTGCTGGCCATTTTNTCGTTTCAAATATTCGTGTCAGGACGAAATCTTGTTCTACAAGGGCCGCATATATATCGGCTCCGACACTCCTCTCAAGTTTCGGATCTTACAACACCTTCACAATAGTCCTACTGCTGGCCATTTTGGATATCATAAAAATTTTAAGAGGATCAAGGCAGATTTTTACTGGCCTGGTATGAGAGGTGATATTCGCAAATTTATTCATGAATGCAATCAGTGTCAACGCACAAAATTAGAAATTGTTGCACCAGTTGGTCTTCTTCAACCTTTACCAATTCCAAGATGAATTTGGACGGATATTAGCATGGACTTCATTGAAGGGCTTCTTCGTTCTCACGAAAATGATGTCATTATGGTAGTTGTGGATCGACTGTCCAAGTATGCATACTTTATCGCCCTCTCTCATTNCAATTCCAAGATGAATTTGGACGGATATTAGCATGGACTTCATTGAAGGGCTTCTTCCTTCTCACGAAAATGATGTCATTATGGTAGTTGTGGATCGACTGTCCAAGTATGCATACTTTATCGCCCTCTCTCATCCTTATCATGGGAAATCTATAGTTGGGGTTGTTTGTTGAATATGTCTTCGAGTTGCATGGGATGTCAAGGACAATTGTAAGTGATCATGACCCCACTTTATCAGTGCATTTTGGCAAGAAGTTTTTAAGTTACAGGGCACACAACTCTATCTCAGCTCGGCGTACCATCCTCAAATCGATGGGCAGTCAGAAATAGTCAATCAATGCCTTGAAAATTATCTTAGCTGCTTCATCGGATCCAAACCTTGGGAATGGTCAAAATGGCTTGCGTTGGCAGAATCGTGGTACAACACCAACACTCATGATTCAACAAAATTAACCCCTTATGAGGCTGTTTATGGAGTTCCTCCACCTCGCCTTCTATCCTATGTGCGTGGAACTACCTAAGTCCAAGTTGTTGAGAATGAGCTTAAAAGTCGTGATCAAATTACAAAAATTCTCAAGGAAAATCTCCAAGCTGCTCAAGCTCGCATGAAAAAATATGATGATCTTCGGTGATCCGAACGTGAATTTGATATTGGTGATTGGGTATTCCTGCGTTTACAGCCATATAGGCAGCATTATGTGGCCATGAGAAAAGTTCTCAAGCTATCTCCTAGGTATTTTGGTTCGTATCAGGTCATTCAACGAATTGGAGCTATTGCTTACAAACTTGATCTTCCCCCAAAAGCACGCATACATCCAGTGTTTCATGTTTCGTGGCTTAAGAAGAAGTTGGTTGAGAATGTTCCTGTGCAACCCACTCTGCCACCTATAAATGAAGAAGGCATCATCCAACCAGAACCAGAAGCTATTCTTCAAAGGCGAATGGTCAAGAAAGGAGGCAGAGCTGTAACTAAAGTCTTAGTCAAATGGCAAAGAACTGACACGGAGGATGCTACGTAGGAGAACTATTACAAGCTGAAAGAGAAAAACCCTAACCTTGAGGACAAGGTTGTTTGAGGAGGGGATTCTGTCATGTGTGTCCCAATAAATTTGTTGTGGTTTAGTCCACAAATTTTGTTTTATGCTTTTGTTTATTTTTATGGTAATTAGGTGGATAAGTTGTTAGAGGTATTTATGGAATTTTGTTATTCTAGCTAATTGGGTCAAACCTGAATGCACAACATTGGGGATTAAGGAGTCATAGTTGGAGCAGTATCTTCAGTTATTGAGTCTTTGTAGGAGTCAGTTGCTATAGTCTTGTATAAAAAGACGTTAGGAGTGAATAAAGAACAGAGAAGAAAAATTCAATTCTTGAGTTTTGGAGGTTGGCTACCCTCGAAGTCATCAGTTTTACAATATTCTTGTTTTTTTTTACTATGGTTGTTACAGATTTATGACCTTTGGATTCATTTTAAGTTGAAGATAAATTGTGTACTGTTAGATTGAAGATGAAGGAAAGAGAAAGGATGGACAGAGAGGTGAGAGATGGGTGATGGATGATACTGATACATATAGAGTTCTGAAAAAGTAGAGTGCAAGAGTCCTATTGGTGGAAGTTGTGGGCAAAAACATTTGATTGGGTGGGAAATAAAATTTGTAGAATTTTAATCTTATATGTGGGATTAACTATGAATATTTACCAATTAATCTGAAATATACAAACGATTTTGTAAGTTGAGGGATTTAAAATCCCTTGTACTTTATTATAATAGATATTTGTAGATTTTGTCTTTATTTGTTTTAGTTGTTATTCATAAATATTTGTAAAATAAAATAGAATTAAGTTTGAATCCCAAAGTTTATTTTAAATTTTTCGTGATTTCTAGGTAAAAGGGGTTAAATTCGATAATCTATGTTATCTTGAATTTTCCATGGTTCAAATTAACTCAAAAATATTGATCGAGCAAGTTAAATTCACTCCCGAATTTTATTTTTCGGGCCAAACTAATCTCCATTTTATCACTCCTAAATAGGGGTGTCTATGGTCTAGGCCGGGCTTGGCCAGCGAAATTTTTTTCAGGCGGGCCCTAGATAGTGTAGGCTCAAGTCCTTACCCAAGTAAGTTATTGGGCCAGGCCGGACCGAGCTTCGAATAGGGGTAGACTACTCGCAGTCCAACTCGTGAGCCTATTGAACGGGCTTGCTCGTAGGCTTTTTTATATACTACTTCATCTAAAATAATGAATATTTTTGTAACTTAATATTTGTGTAAATTATATTTTTGAATCAAAAATAGAGTCAAAATGGATAAAAATAAGATAGGGTTAATTGTAAATCGCATCCCGAAAGATCGTTCAAATCTTAATTTGCACCCTTAAAGATCAAAAATCTCAATTTGCACCCTCAAAGATAGAATTTTGTATCAATGTGCACTCCCAAAGATCAAAAATCTCAATTTGCACCCTCCAAAATAGAAATTTGTATCAATGTGTACCTAAAACTAATTGTTGTCAATTTGCTGCTTAAAACTAAATTGATAAATTATATCTAAATCAATTTGCTGCTTCACATTTAGAATATTACTCCTACAGCTCATGACATTTGTGCACGTATAACATGTAACCTGATGGTGTATTTCAACGTGATGCAATTTTGTGACGACGAGTAAACGAAAGTGATAATCTTGGAATTATTGGGATCTGAGCTACTAGGCTCGAGGGAGTGATACTGAGAATTGTTGGGGAATTGGGAAATTAACACAGTAGAAATATAGTGGTTCACCGGCTCAAGAGCTCGGTTAATCCACTCTTTAATGGAGATTCTTGCTCCTTCCTTCACTATTTACTATATCAAAAAGGGTTACAGAATGTACAATGTGATACTAGGGTTCTTGCCCCTCTGTTAGGGGTGTTACATAGTATTTATAGGGGTATCCCTTAATTTATGGGATCCAATCCGTGATCCTTGCCATCTATCCGAGAAATTCTCCTTAGTCTTAGGAGAGTATATTGGTTAGTTGAGGATTTTGTGCCTTGAGTGTTATTTCAAATCACCTTTCGAGTTCTTTGTAGTATCTAGTTGCTTCTTCCCTGCTTCAACTTATTATCTCGCTTTGAGGGGAGCTCTAACTCTGATTTTCTGAGCTCTGCATAGCTCTAACCTTCTAAACTCACCTTAACTGACCTCCGTTCCCGAGCTCTAGCTCGGGAATCATTCTGAGTATCATCAATTGCCCCCCAACTCTTGGCCGAGCTGGCTCGGGCAAGGGCTGAACTTAGGATGTAACAGTGATGGCTTCCCAATCAGTTTACGTGGGAATATATATATTTATTATTATTATTTATTTTTAAAGTGGTTGTANATATTTGTGTAAATTATATTTTTGAATCAAAAATAGAGTCAAAATGGATAAAAATAAGATAGGGTTAATTGTAAATCGCATCCCGAAAGATCGTTCAAATCTTAATTTGCACCCTTAAAGATCAAAAATCTCAATTTGCACCCTCAAAGATAGAATTTTGTATCAATGTGCACTCCCAAAGATCAAAAATCTCAATTTGCACCCTCCAAAATAGAAATTTGTATCAATGTGTACCTAAAACTAATTGTTGTCAATTTGCTGCTTAAAACTAAATTGATAAATTATATCTAAATCAATTTGCTGCTTCACATTTAGAATATTACTCCTACAGCTCATGACATTTGTGCACGTATAACATGTAACCTGATGGTGTATTTCAACGTGATGCAATTTTGTGACGACGAGTAAACGAAAGTGATAATCTTGGAATTATTGGGATCTGAGCTACTAGGCTCGAGGGAGTGATACTGAGAATTGTTGGGGAATTGGGAAATTAACACAGTAGAAATATAGTGGTTCACCGGCTCAAGAGCTCGGTTAATCCACTCTTTAATGGAGATTCTTGCTCCTTCCTTCACTATTTACTATATCAAAAAGGGTTACAGAATGTACAATGTGATACTAGGGTTCTTGCCCCTCTGTTAGGGGTGTTACATAGTATTTATAGGGGTATCCCTTAATTTATGGGATCCAATCCGTGATCCTTGCCATCTATCCGAGAAATTCTCCTTAGTCTTAGGAGAGTATATTGGTTAGTTGAGGATTTTGTGCCTTGAGTGTTATTTCAAATCACCTTTCGAGTTCTTTGTAGTATCTAGTTGCTTCTTCCCTGCTTCAACTTATTATCTCGCTTTGAGGGGAGCTCTAACTCTGATTTTCTGAGCTCTGCATAGCTCTAACCTTCTAAACTCACCTTAACTGACCTCCGTTCCCGAGCTCTAGCTCGGGAATCATTCTGAGTATCATCAATTGCCCCCCAACTCTTGGCCGAGCTGGCTCGGGCAAGGGCTGAACTTAGGATGTTACAGTGATGGCTTCCCAATCAGTTTACGTGGGAATATATATATTTATTATTATTATTTATTTTTAAA